CAAAGTCACAAAACTAGTTAGTGTCTGATGCTGAATTTTAAATTGGGTCTTCCTAACACCAGGTCTAGTGTTCTATTCTCTGTGCCATCTAGCTTTTGAAAGCTAAAATGAATTATACCATAGTTCAGCAAGCTTAATTGGACAGGCCTTCACTTTCTACTTCTTGGGTTGAAGATGATGGTGATTATGCACTGAGGTAGGAGTTATCTGATCTTATATCTTTTCCTCATCAGGAAACAGTAGGTATGGGGATGTAGGTGTTTGTTTTTTAGTGGTATCTCATAGTAACTTTAATTTTCACATTCTTGAATCTAAGTATTCATTTAGTTAATTTTGATGATCACAGATCTCATCAAGAGTCATAGTCTTTGGACCAGGATGCCTATTCATGCCTGCCCAACTTGGGCAACTGTTGCCCATGCCCTGTCATAAGTTCACCAATAAGTGTCCACCCAATGTGCTAGAATGGGGGGTGGGGTGGGAAGGGCTTCATCACTTTTTGTCTTGACATCAAAAAGATACCAGTGTAATAGCTAGGGATAGCTGTTCTTTACTCCTCCATCTGGCCATGTGACTAGCCACTCCATGTTTCTGTCTCAATCTGTCTGCCTCTTATCTCTAATTTTTTTTTCATACATTTATTTGAGGTCATCCTTAATTCTGGTTCTCTTTTGTAATGTGTTTTGTAATGAGTTGTGGCCTGTTCAACCCTACCATGTGAAGGTTCCATAGCTCTCTGGGTGATAATTCGTTTTTAATACTTTGAAGACTTTATAACTCTTTGAATGACTTACAACCATACAACAATACTAGCAGATTACCTTCAAATAGACCTTTCACTTTGAAAGACATTTGTGGTCATTAAAAGAAGTTCACAGTTTTCTAAAGGCCATCCAGCCTCTGTTCTCCTTCTGTTTCAGTCTGGGTCTAACCCATTGCTTCTTACTGATGGTTCCATCTAGGTTGGACTCAAAGAGTATGGTAGATTATCCTCATAAAAATGTTGTGTATGTGGGAAAATTGACACATATGTCATTTGCCTTTTTCAGTATGAATAAATCTGAAATTTTTCTGTTTGTTTTATCTTCTCCTCCTTTACATACCTATGAATCAATCTCTTAACAAATATCCCAACATTTGTGTTGCTTTCAGCCCTTTTTCCCCCTGAGTATACTTAGCATAGTTCAGCTGCTTTTCCCATCCTTGTTCTCTTCAGATAGGTCTATTTTCCTCCATGAGCCCATTTGGGGATGTGCTGTTTGAGGCCAAGTGTGGTCGCTCCATTGTCCCTGATGGGGAACATAGTTTGTTACAAAAAATCTTTCTAGGCCATGCTCTTCTTTCTTTCTGGTCCTTCCAGAAAACTCAGGGTGTTTTATTTAGGTCTCTTGCCAAATGTTCTTCAAACTGGTTTTTCTCTTTACTGCTTCTCACTGTTTCATGGTGGTGATATTGCTTCTAAATCTTCCATTATTCTCCCCAAAATTTTAGAAATGAGTTTATATTCTGAATAAGTGTTGCTTTTGGTTTTCATCTCTCTCCCTGTCACAAGTAAGTCTAGTGTTTACAGACTAACGTGCTTTTTAGGCTCTTTTGCCTCCTGGTTATGGCAATCGATTTGCATAGGTTAAATTTCTGTTATGAAGCTTATTTTAGTCAGATGTTGATGTCTTTTCTTCCATATATATCAACAAACACTTGACTTTGCTTGGTTTAACTAGTAAAAAGCTGCATGAATTAAGTACTTCAAATTTTCCAATTCTACATAATAAAATACTACATAATAAAAATAAAGCAGAATCCAATTTTTGTCTGAAAAGAAGAAAAGAGTTGGTTTTTTTTTTTTTTGGTTTTGCTCCTAGGCATAAGGTCAATTTATTTAACAGTTGGGTTTGTTGAACCTAGAGCTGTGGAGTATTTGTCAAGATCTTGGTGAGTAATTGCAATTTTAATTATTTTGTCCAACAAAAGAATGAAGCCAGGGAAGTGTCTTAACATTTAAAGGTAGAATACTCACAATCAGACAATAAACCAAACTCTTTTCTAAACAAATCTTTCAAAATTAAATGTCAATGGAGTTATCATAAGTGTTTGTCAATTGAAAAATCATGTAGAAATCCTTTTGATGATATTAAAAGTAAGGTTAGATGTCTGATCCTTTTTTAAATCTTTTATTCACATTTTAATTTCATTTTTTAAATTTAATTTCATAGGAAATGAGTGAGAGGACTGATAATTATGCTGAATATTTTCAATTTCTATCATTATACACTTTTTTCATAACATTTCTGTATCTTTAAATATAGTTCTAATAGGAAGTCACAATTTTATCTCTGACAAAAGAAATGAAAGACAAATGAAAATAAACGATGTTTTCACTTTTTTACTGAAGAATTTACTCATCAGTATAATTTTAGGAGGTTGCAGTAAATAGTTTTGTAATTTTATTGATCTTCAATATAGTTTAAATTAGGGAATACTGATTGAGAGAATATTTTTCCAAATATTGGCAACCAGATCTTATAGGACAGAAATAAAACCATGTTGAAATCTGGTTAATATTACATAGTGTATCACTTCTTCTCTATCAAGCTGATGCTATTACCTCTGCTATAAAGATTAGAGTAGGGTGACAACATAACTTTATTACACCTTGCTTAGTATCATCCAGAACCTAGTTACCCAGTTTATCCCCCAGATATTTGCACATTTCATGATTTATGATAATGGTCGGTATACCCCAAGGATATGTCCTGGGCCCCCTTCTTTTCTCCATTTACAGTTTCTCATTGATGACATCATCAGCTCCTATGGATTTAATTATCATCTTTATGCATACAATTCCCAAATCTATACATTCTAGTCTAGTCCTAATCACATGTAACCAGTACCGTATTGGACATCTTAAACCGATGTCCCATACACATCTCAAAATGGAGATTATTATCTTTCCACCAAAATCTAGCTTTTTTCTGAATTTCCCTAATTCTGTTGAGGGTATTACCATCTTTCTAGTCATCCAGGTTCACAGCTTTGGGTATCATTGTCAACTCTTCCATCTCAATTAGTCTGAGTATTTAAGCAGTTACCATATTTTGTCATTTCTGCCTCCATGATGTTTTTCACATCCCTCTTTTCTCCACTCATATAGCCACCACCTTATATCAGGTTCTCATCACCTCTTGCCTGAATTATTGCAATGGTCTCTTAGATGTTCTCTCTGCTTCAAATATCTCTCTTCTCCAGTTCATTCTCCACATATCTGCTAAAGCCATATTCCTAAAGTATAAATCTGGCTATGTCATTTCTCTTCTCCATAAATTCCAGTGGCTCCCAGTCACTTCTAGGGTAATATGTAATGCCTCTATTTGCATTTAAAGCCTTTCCCAAATTGGCCTCAATCCATCTTTCTAGCAGTATTTCACATTACTCCCCTTCATTCTTCCTGTAGTCCAGTGAAACCGCCCTCATGATGTCATTGGTCCTCTTCAAGAAAGAAGGATGAATCACAACATGATACTACATTTCAGTCCCCATACTCCACACCTCTGCCTCTTAGAATCTCCTTTCTTCAAATTTTCTACAACATTCTACATGAGGACTTTCCTGATCCCACTCTCCTTTACTCCTGCTGGCACTCCTCCCCCCTCCCATCACCTTGTATCTATTTTATCTGTAACTATATTTGTACATGTTGTCTCCTCCCCCATTCTCAAAATATAAGCTTTTTAGGGCATGAAATGTTTGTTTTTGTATCTCTGGTACCTAGCATAGTGTCTGGCACATAGAAGGAACTTAATAAATAAATACATGTTGGTTGATTGATTGGTGATGATTTTCCTGGTATAGAAATAAAAGTTTTAGGTCAATAATTCCAGATTTACATGTATAAATATGGATAATCTTACTCCTTTTCTTATTTTTGGGCATCTCATTATATGTATGTATGTGTATACATATATACACACATGTATATATACATACATATATTTAAATATGTATATACATACATATTTCTAAAAATAAATTAATAGCATATAGCCAATAATATAGCAAGATTCCTATTATGTAAAGCCATTAGGACTTACAAATATAAATACATATAGCTTAGTCTTCCACAACCTCCTTCTTGTGCTAACTTTGGTTTTCTTTGCTTTCCCTTTGTGTTGTCTATTTTTTTTTTTTTGAGAGCATTAAAACTCTGTCTTTGGAGTTTTATTATCCAACAGGGGTAACTAACCATTTGCCTTTCTTATCTCATTCCTTAAACATTTGAGGGGTATTTCCCATTTCTTTTTATATAGATTAAGTATTTCTTTTTTTTTAATCCTCTGAAACCCTTCACCCTTTCATGTATCGTCTGTTAGGATAAGAGGGAAGGAAACCGTAAGGGAAAAAATAAAGTAGTTTTGTGAGTGTTATTGCTTTTTAGTATTTCATATATATACTTGCAACTGGTCTTTCTTATAAGAACTCTGAGGGACTTTGGTCTTACTGGTCTCATTTTGAGGTTGGGTATATTGACACAAGAAGGAAAGTGATTTTCCAGGTATCACAAAGCAATATAATTCCTAGCCTGTAGTGTAATATAACATAACATATGAGACCTTAAATCTATTACATTTACATTGAGCCCTACATGGTTCCTCCTTTCTCAAATGATATGTAACTATTCTTCTTACATTCATATTCAATCTTACATATTCAGTTTTCATATTATCATGGTATTTCTTATTTTATCTGCTTATTTAATCCCATAAATGAGGACATCATCTATGTAGCTGAATGGTGCTCAATAAATATTAAATAATAATGATGGTAGTGAGTAATAATGACTATACTGTAATAACAAAACTCCACCACTGCCTCGTTAGTATCTTCAGAGAAGACAGGGTCTTGGTAACTCATGACTCTTTACTTTAGACAATGTTATCTAAGACATGTTATGAAATGATTTCCCCCAGTGAACTCACAAGGCCTTTTCAAACTTTGTTTTCCAGCCTTATACCCAGAAGTCCACACAGAAGTACATTGTGAAGAATTATTTCTACTATTATCTCTTCAAGTTTTCAGCTGCTTTGGGTGAAGAAATTTTTTACATTACCTTCCTTCCGTTCACCCACTGGAATATTGACCCTTATGTGACCAGAAGGTTGATAATTATATGGGTTGTAAGTATTATCATTATACTCTATAGTCATTTATTATCCTAGTAACTGTATGTTCCCTGGATCACTAAGCCAATACTATTTTGTTCTCCAGTTTTCTCTGGAAAAAGAAATGAGCTCAAAAATACAACTTGACATGTTCCATTAAAATGCTTTTTGTTGCTGTTGTTGAATAACTTGTGTTTCCTAATATTGAACAGAACAAGAGGGTGAGAAGATGGAGGTGTGCCTAGAAAAGACAAATTGACTATTTTTTGTATGTACTAATGAGTGATAAGATTGTTTTCTCTCCATTGGCCCCAGTTAGTTTTTTAAAATTACTTTCATCTTGTTAGTGTCTTTAATTCATTCAACAAATATCAAATACCTGCCATGTGCTGTGTCCTATGGCAAATACCAAGAAGAACAGGGTGTGTCCTTCCTCCGGACATAAAAGGACTTTCAGACTGATTAGAAGACAGAGAAACATTTAATCACAATATGGGGTTTGTTAAAGGATCCTTTTAGATCAGTTTTGCTTGGGGGACATATGCAATTTGATGTTACCAGGGTTTTCCTTAGACTTTGACTTTTTTAGGAGGGTAGAGTTGGATACATGATTCATCAATCAAGAGAAGGGTATGGGGAAACTGAACACCTCTAACAGTTGAAGAGCCAAGAGGGAGGGGCTTCAGGATCAAGGAGATTTGGCTGATAACAGGAAAGATGCAAGTCCCTTGCCCAGACATAAGGCATTAGTTGAACAGTACAAGATTGAGAGCACTGGCCTGGAAGTCAATTCAATGGGAAGCTGCAGGTCCGACTTATCTTGAAGACCCTGACCAATCAGTCGGAGGTAAATTAGAGCAGCTAGAGCCACAGTTTCCCCCATCTAGAGTAAACAAAAGGAAACTCTAGAGCATCAGACCCTCAAAAGGACAAGACTGATTCTCTTGCATGTCCAACCACGGAACCCAGCACAAGATATGTCAATTCCACAAGCATTAATGAAGTGCTTATTATGTGCCAATTACTGTACGAAGCAGTATAAATACAAGCAAACAGATAACCTCTGCCCTCAAGAAGCTTATATTCTAATGAGGAAAAAATAGGTGAAAGAAAGTTGCTTGGAGGGAAGGCAGAAGGAACAAAGGCAGGGAGGGTAAAGTGCAGAAGGTCTACAGAGAATTCAGAGAGGAATAAAGACATGACTGGCTTGGACACTTCCTTTAAAATAGTAGTTCTACTAGGAACCAGCCAATGAGAGGAAGGGGTCATAGGAGTGCAATAAACTTCTAGGATGAAGAGATCACAGGGAGAGAGTGAACTTCCGGGTTGAGAAAGCTATTGTAGTATGGTGAGTCAGGAATGGAGGCTGGAGGGGAATGAAGAGTGTCTCTGTGTGTGTGTGTGTGTGTGTGTGTGTGGCTGGGGGACTATATGTGTTAGGATGGTCTGGTGGCTTTGAGACTAGCCCTCTGTTCAGTATGCCTTTCTGTTTCTTAAGTGCTATATAGTACTCACCCAAATTAACTTAGTAAAGACTACACATGGGCAGTTAGGTGGAGCAATGCATAAAGTGCCAGGCCTGGGATCAGGAAGACTCATGTTCTGAGTTCAAATCTGGCCTCAGTTACTTACTAGCTATATGACCTTGGGCAAGTCACTTAACCCTGTTTGCCTCAGTTTCCTTATCTGTAAAATGAACTGGAGAAGAAAATGGCAAACCACTCCAAGATCTTTGCCAGGAAAACTCCTAAGGAGGTCATGAAGAATTAGGACTGAAATGACTCAATAACAACAACAACCCCAATAATCTAGGCCAGGGATGTCATTTTAATGATGTTTACATTTTAATCTGAGGATATTGCAGCAGCAATGCAGAGAAGGTGTTGATCCATGGAAACAGTAGAAAGAGATTCCTCACTTTGGAACTCTCCGTTCCATTAAAATCACAGGTCCAGTTTCCCTATCTCCTTTATTCCCATTTATAACTTTTTAAATGTAAATATACAAAAATAACAATGTATGATCCTTTCTCAAGACGCTTCTAAAAACCCTATGATTGTATCTTCATGTATACATAAATATTCACTTAATACTTTTTAGCTGGTGTAGATAAATGCCCTCCAGCTTATCTAAAGACTTCTGGGGGAAGGAATGAGTGACTTTAACTTATTTTTTTTTTGGCGGTGGTGGCGGCGGGGGTAATTGAGAGAGGAGAAGCAGTGATTCCCTCACCATCACCCAAACAAGTTATCTCTGGACTAGATGACCTCCAAAGCCCCTTTCAGCTCTAAAATTCTAGGATTCTAGGAGTCTGTAACCCTACAGAGAGAAATGTATTAGCTCTCAATTGCCATTACTTCTCTATTTCTGCCATTGCACTATGCCATGCCTTCTTTCAGCTCTCTGTCTCCCAAGCTTGCCATTCTCTGCAGCCCTACTCATTGCTCAAAGAGCAATTAAAAAAATCCTCAAAAACATATGTAAACTGAGTCAGTCATATCTCCATCTAAATGACTTGAACTTCATACTACTCTTTCTTAAGCTGCCTTGATATGACTGTGGAGCAGTGACCCCTGCTGGAGTAATGCCTCCCAAGAAGGAAACACCTGTTTAAAACTGGGAGGACCTCTCCTTTCATGAAGGATACAGGACAGAGGGTTGTGGAGTCCAAGTTTCTTTCCCATTGATATTCAGACTTTGAAAAATGATCCCCAGGGTTCTCAATGATTTCATTGAATGTGCCAAATTGGTAATCTGGTAATTTTGTAACTTGGAGATATACTGTGGGTTTAATCTGAAAGCTGGTGTGGACCAACTCCTTGTTTCAGAGGCTTGACCAGCTTAATGTTTATGGGACGTCCTCTCTCCCTTTACTCTCATCCCTTCCTCCCCTATGTTGGCTGAGGGCTTTTATTGGGATAAATGAGAATCCTCTTTTTTTTTTTTTTTTTTTGGTGGGCTGGGGAAGTGAAGCTCTAATAGTTACTGTTTATGATACTTTTGGTTCAAAAGCCAAAATATAAAATTTAAAAAAACCCTTTTCATTTTTCTCCCTCCCATAAAGATATTGCGAAGGCAGTGCTGGGGCAAACACATAGCAGCTATTCTGCAATAACACCAAATATGTTGCATTTTTAGTCAAATGTTCAGGCAGCATCCTCTTTAAGTTCATTGCTTTCTATCTATTCATCTTCTTGAGGCAAATGGAGAATCATATGGTCAAATGCCATGCATTGCCTTCATAAAACTTCTCACAAGTATCTCCTGCACTCTTTCCCCTCTTTCGCATTTTTCTGTGGCTTTTTAAAATGGTAGTGGTATATAATGAACTATTTACTGGTGATACTAAGAATTTGCCTCTATATTCCCCTGACCATAACCAATTCATTAGAAAACAAGTTCTACCCATCATGGTGACCCTGACATATCAGCAGAAGGTAAATTTGAGTCACTAGAGCAATAGTTTTCCCCTTATAGAGTGAAAAGAAGGAAAACTGGAAGCCTCAAGTGTGTCAGCCCCTCAAAAGGCTAGGAATATTTCTGCATTTCATATGTGGAGCCCAGCACAGGTGTATGTATATGTGTCATGTGCACATAGACATATAGAGAATGTGTGTATACTAATATATACACACATACACACATACACGTGTATGTATGTATATGGAGAGAGAGAGAGGTTGGTGTTTTTTTGTTTTGGTTTTTGGTTTTTTTGAGGACCACTTGGCAGAGTTCTTTAGCCTATGAAGAAAAAAAAAATGATAGATTTTTTGGACCTACTATTAGGACCTGTGATTTGAATTGTTGTTTTTCCCTTCCCAGAAACAATGATTTATTTTGATCAATACACTTATTTGTCAGCTGGTTCACATCAGAGGGGTTATATCCTATAACAATAAAATGAAGTTGGTCTTTGCCAAAATCCAATTGATTTGAACCACTTGGCTTCATCAGCTCTGCAGAACAATGTAACTACCATGAATACCAACTGAATTCCATTCATTGTATCCCTGCAGTGCTTTGTACATATCAGAATAAACTATTTCCTGGCTTCCCAGATTCTGAAGCAGCAAAGAACCCTAAGGGACAGGCAGAAGGTGGCATGTGCCAGGCGAGTCAAGCCATTACTACCACTTTGACACTGCCATTGAGACAGTCCAGGACCTTGAACCAAAGATACCAAGGAGCAGCAGTGCCCTGTAGACCAGGAACTCTTCCTCAGGCAGTCCCCTGCTGACCTATTAACCAGATGTGTTTCTAAATGGAGACTGGCAGCTAAGTGCCATTCTACCCTGGCTGTATTAGGGCAAAGTAAACCTCCTTTGTTCAATGACTCACAAGAACCTCATTTCATCCAAACATTGAACTTGGACTAAGAGCGTGCTGGCTTTAGAGTCATACCTATAACACCACTGCAGCCTAAAGATGATGGGATCTCTCTATCTGATTTGCAATTGAAATCTTCTCTCTTTATTGTCTCTGCCTATTAGGATATAGGCACCTGGAGAGAAGGGGTTGTATTGCTTTTCTATGTGTATTCCAGCACTACATACACAGTGCTTTGCATATAGTAAGTACCTAATATTTATTCATTCATTCAATGAGTGAATGAATCCATGAATGAATAAATGAATGAAAGTAATAACTTTCCTAATATATGCTGTTGCAGTGGGTAGCTGCTAGCTGGGATGTGCTATAGGGCAATCCATGATTCTCACACTATTAGAAATGAGGGAAGAAAGGAGGGGGCATCATTTGCCTTGGGTAACTCTCCATAGTAGCCTGATAACCATGGGACATAGCTTAGCCTGATTTGTATAGATAGGAAAGACTTTTTGGGGACAGTACATGGGCTTCAGGCTGGTCACACTGCTAGGGGTAAAGTAACACATCGATTCTGGGAAGTAGCCCAGGACCCTAACCAGACGACAAGTTGTTGCTTGCTCTGCTTCTGCTAACCTCTTCACACCCCCTTGGCTTCATTAGGTTGTCATCTGGTGCTCAAACAGTACAGT